ATGAGTTTGTTCTTGAATCACATAATATGTGATCCTTTTTCCTTATATTATTGGGAAAGATTGTGGTTCATCGTGTGAGAGCTATGACACGCGCAAAAAATGTAAGAACTATAAATAATCATAGTATGAGTTTATATGTTTTTTTATGGGAACCAAGTTTATTCATACATAAGCCACATAAAGTGGAATACATCAAGGATCATGGGGTTGGCCAAGCCACAAGTGGTGCCCGTGACCTAACGAACGAGCAAACTTGGCTAAACTATGAGCTTCGCTATTCGAGTCTCGACTTTCAAAAACAAAATTACAAATAAACATGGTAGCTCTATGAAGTATCTCTGAAACAATAGTGCAATATCACCCACGATTAGAATTGTGGATATCCATCACCACCTGCTTAGCATCAGATGCCAAGATAAAATTTTGAACAAGCAGATCTTCAGCCAACGCTATTCCCTCCCTACATGCAATAGCTTCCAAAGTCGTCGGGTCTTGTAGTCCCCGTACAACTAGTGTCGAGCTACCCATATAGTTACCATGGTCATCTCAACAAACTACGGCTGCGACACCTTCCTTGCTGAAAGCCTAGCGTCAACATGGATTTTTGCGTATCCTGTGAGTGGCGCCTTTTGTCGTCTGTTGCCCCTGGACACCGCTGCAGCGTTTGTACTCGTCCGCGACCTTGATTTTTTTAAAATATCTAGATCTCTAATATATCTGTCAATAAACATATGTGTTGCACGTGCATACTTACTAGTTTCTCCATAAGCTGCTAGAAGCCACAAAAGAACTTTTTTTTGGAGACAAAGCCACAAAAGAACTGGCCCTAACACTAATACCCGTCGCTCTATTCGGGCCTGCCCTTGTCATGGGCCTCCTTAAGCCCACAAAAGGCCCACTACCCCGTCAATCCGACAAAAATGAGTCGTCCTCTGGAATGGAAACCCTAATCGAATCCTCCAGTCCAGATCAAAACAGGGGAGCGAGCATGGCGTCGTCCACTGCTGTGAGCAAGCGCGGCGACGCGGGCGGCGTCCTGGCTGCGATCTCGCGGTCCTCGGTGGCGGCGCACGGCCGCGAGGCCGCGGCGGTGGCGGGGAAGCTGCTGCGGAGCACGGGGAAGGCGGCGTGGATCGCCGGGACGACCTTCCTGGTGCTGGTCGTGCCGCTCATCATCGAGATGGACCGCGAGCAGCAGATGGTCGACCTCGACCTCCAGCAGCAGGCTCTTCTCGGCTCGCCGCCGCCCCTCGCCAAATAAATCCCTCCTCTTTCGTCCGTCCGTCTTTGTTGCCTGCTGGTGCTGTCACATTTCGTTTTGCTAGTATCATAGGTGGTCTAGAATTTTATCACTAGTCTGTTTTTGGGGAGAAAGATCATGCCTTGCTGTGACTGCTCCTGCTCGGTACAATTATCGCAATATCTTGAACTCAGACTCAGTCCTGTGATACACAAGAGTGTTTGTTTGTGATGCCTATTTAGATGCATACTCGGAATACATACATGATTGTCACAATGCCCTATCTCATACTTGTTGCTCTGATATTGCTACTTCCACCGCCAGAATTAGCAGGTTAGGGAACTAGAAATCAATCATTGTTGCTCCTTGTACTGATCCTTGTAATAACCAAAACAAGGCGTTGCTCTTATCCCATGATGATGGCTCATCGGTTGTTAGGGGTTTGATTCTACGGAGGTACTGATCACTAAGGAGACACATTCTAGTCTATATTGGCTGAGTCGGCTGATGGGTCTCAAGGCCATCTTGATTCCAAGGAATCCCATAAGATTTTTGGAGAACTTGAATCTTTGTGAAAATTATCTTAAGATTCATTTTCACTCTATTTTGGAGGAAATCCTCTCAAACCTTTTGGTGGAATTCATTTGTTTCTCCTATGATATCAAACACTCTTTCATCCAAATTCCTAGTCTTCTAATCCTTAGGTTTTTCTTCTCATACAATCCATGAAATGGATCGGGTTACACTATCAAAAAGATAATGGAACAGAACACAAAAACAGCGTCTTGGCGCAAAGCAGGTAAACAAGCCCTAACTCTCCTGCCGCATGCTCCGCTAAAAGGGGAGAGGGGGGAGCTAAGGCGAAGCAAAACAAGTCATCAGCCCAGAAAAATTACTCAGTCTTGCTCCATTTCTTGGCGCGTAGTTTCTGCATCATCTTCATTGTTTGAACCATCATCTCCCATGATCATCAAGGCGCCATTTCCTCGCTCCCTCCTGCCATCCTCATACTGTACCAGTGCCGTTCTCTGGAGTGCCGTCGCACCTTGTTCCAACATCTCAGTCCGCCCAATAATTCATAAAAGACACAGCACAGTAAATAAATTCAGCGGGATATCTTACAAGCTTAAACTCAAAACAAGCTCTGTTTCTGAGCTTCAAAATAGCCCAACATAGGGCCGCCAGGCCAACAACTTGGAGTTAGGAATTTGGGAATCGACGAGAAGTATTGGGAAAAGCATCCAGGTCTATCCCCAGCACCAATAGTTTTGCTCACTATACTCCACACATACTATGTCGCAGCAACAGTGGAAAGGTGATGAATATTTTCATTATCATGTCAGAATCAACATAAAGGATCCCCCGCCCATTTACGTTTGATCATATTATCTTTGGTTGCAATGGCACTATGCCATATAAGTCATAACCAAAATTTTATTTTCAAAGGCAGTTTGGTTTTCCAGAGATGCCTAAATGATCTGCTAGAATTTTTCCCTTTTTGTTCCATAACCAGATGGAAACATCCAGCCAGCCTCGCACTCTCAGCTCCCTAAAAAAGCTCTCAGCTCCACTAGCTGTCTATTTTGTTTATTGTTCAGCCATCTCCAAAATGTCATTGCTCATCCAGTATTAGCCATGTCTCTGACATTTTTTTCTTCTCATTACATAGTTGCAACAAGCCAGGGAAAATACCTAGCAAAGGTTTATCACTGCACGATTTGTCACCCCAAAAGCCAGCCCGTTGTCCATTACCCACTTTCATCTTTCTCCCTGTAAGATACAGATTGAATTTAACCAAGTCAGCCCAGCATGGTGAGTCATTCACAGATCCATGTATCTGATAGATCCCTTGATCAATCTTTTTTTCTTCTTACTATCTGCTGCCACATCCCTTCTCTTGCCCCCAGTTCCACCACCATTTGCGTACCAAAATAACATTAAGGAGGCATTTGGTTACTTTCATCGTTTTTTAGCACTTTGCGTATTTGTTCCACTTAAGCCTGGTTGAGCTAATGCAGGCAAAAAACAATCATCTACACTTACTTTGGTTGCCTGCATACAGGCTGCCTGCATTAGGGGAGCACTTTTTGACTCCCGTTTGGTTGCGTGCATTGGCTTGGTAGATGCAAGTGCCCGGTGTTTGGTTGCATACAGGCAATGTGATTAAGAGTTAACACCTACACATGACACACTGAGTTATAGTAGAGTTTTTGGCAGTGTGCTCGTGATGACGGTGTCAGCGTAGGGCGAGGACGAGGTGATTGAGAGGAACAACGCCGGCAGGCAGACAGGGCACAACATGGCGTCCATCTGACAAGGTTGACAACTACACATAACACTAGGGACGCCGCAAGCAACTAGTTCGCCATGCCGCCATTGGACTTGGCACCGGGACCACCGCCGGACTCGGCATCGCGCCATTTTTTTGTTCTCTAGTTTTTTCTTATTTTTCATTTGGTTGTTTTCTCCATTTTTTTCTTATTTTTTGTTTTTGTATTCACTCTGCATTTTCGTATATGTGAAGCACATTTTTTTAATAAAGTGATAAACATTTTTTGTATACACGTTCAACATTGTCCGAACGCTTATTCGATATTTTTTCAAATACTTTTAAATATTTTAATACTTATTCAACATGTTGCAAATACTTGTTCAATATTTTCCAAATACCCATTCAACATTTTCCAAATACCTGTTCAATATTTTATAATGCTTATTCAACATGTTGCAAATACTTGTTCAACATTTTTAATACCCATTCAACATTTTCCAAATACCTGTTCAATATTTTATAATGCTTATTCAATATTTTTCAAATACTTTTTCAACATTTTTAATACTTATTCAACATTTTCAAATACTTGTTTAACATTTTTCATATAGTTGTCCAACATTTTTTAATACTTGTTGAACATTTTTTGAAATACTTATTCAATATTTTTTAGTAGTTAGTCAACATATTTCAAATACTTGTTCAACATTTTTCAAACACATATATGTGCTGAATTAGTACAAAGAAAAGTACAAAAATAAAGCAAAAAAAGAAGCGGCGAATAGGTTTTCCGTCACGATTTGGGAAGCGGCGGCATATCCGGGTGTTTCGGGCCGATCGGCTGTTGGATACGCCTAGGCGTCAGCCCCGGGCGGCTGGCCCCATTGCCGCGCAAGGTACGGGCAAAAGTCTCGCGCTTTCCTTTATGTGGTCCAACGGAGCATGACCCCCGCCTCGAACCCATGCTCGCCAGCTCCGTGCAAACCCATCCCGCTTCACGTACGAAACGAAGCAAGAGAAAGCACCAAGTACATACAGTGTTCTGTGTTGCGCATGACCGAACGATCAGTCTTTCTGCCTTGTACTCCGTGTAAAAGTAAAGTACAGTATTCCATTGGCATACTCTCAAAAAGAAAAGGTTCCGCTCCACGCTGAGGCAATCACAAACGAAAGACAGTCCTTGTAAAAAAAGTCATTAGCAGCATAGAAACACGACACGGCGACATAATAAAACGCTCCATCCATCCAACCATCCAGATCGCAGTCTTACACGACGACACACGCAGAACACTACTACAGCTACAGGCTACGCACATTGCACAAACACACGAGTGCGAGTCACACTTCACCGTTTCAAATATCCCGTAGGCAACACATGCCAACCGCGAACGGGGGCACTGCTTGAGATCTCCCTCCCAAGTCACAGAAGCGGTGACCTACCACGAACACGTACCATTCTGGATTTCTGTTTGATACATACCATGGGATTCAGACGCACGACTCGTTGGCCTGCTGGAACCGCTCGGCCTGGGCGGCGGCGGCGTCCTCGGAGACGAGCGCCTCCAGCAGCAGCGCCTTCACCTCCCAGGAGTCGAAGGGGAAGCCCGTACGCGTGTAGGCGTTGATGAGCGCCGCGCTGCCGTGCTTCACCAGCTTCACGAAGGGGCTGCCCACGTCGTCGGTCCTCATGGTGGCCTCCAGCAGGGTGAGCCGCGGCCCGTACTTGTCCATGGACCTGGACCCGAACACCTTGGACACCGCCGCCTCCTGGGGCACGATGTTGGGCCATTGCTCAGCCCCGCTGCTCCAGAACCTGCATGCACAGTTCCACATGAAACTAGTCGTAAAAGGAGCAAGGTAACGGTTTATTGCAGTGTTATTACTCAGAAACTACTCTTTAAAAGGAGCAGGTTAACACTGAGCTCGAAATTCTCTTCAGAAGAAGGCATTCCACATGTTATGCGATGATTTTAAGACATCATATTTCTTTCCCTACCAGAAAAAGGGGTCTAATAAGTTGGCCCGTAAGCTACGATAGTATGCACACTTATAGCGGAGGGAGAATGCCCCACAGGGCACAAAGGCCACATTGACCCACAAGAGCACGACTTGAACTAACCAGAGCGTAGGGAGGACGAAACAGAATTGCATGAACGCAATGAATGAAACGGACGTGACTCGTCTACAACTCTTGATGTTCACAAGACTGGAACCAGGGTAGTTAAGACAGTGTGTTGATTCAGTAGTCAGTACTACTACGTGCATTTCAGCAGAAGTAAGCTCAATATTCAGAAAAACTGCCATTTGTTCGGATAAACTTGCCATGTGGAATGTGGAGTAACACCATGGGTTACTGCAGAAATCTATACCACTACACAATAGTCGCTTGCTGGCAAGTTTTTCTCGCTACCCAGGCTATACGGTTACAACTAGTGACTCAAAATGTACCCTGGATTTTAGTGAGAAGTTCCTGTAAAACTTGTCAGGAACATCACATGGACCGCAAGTTGAACACTTTAGCCGTGCACGTACGACAAGGGATTTCATAAAAGCAGATTAGGTTGTGTGGCCACATCATCCTTTTTTTTTTGCGGGTGAAGTGTGGGCACATCATCCTTGCAACCTAGTGCAGATTCCGCTGGACCTTTTAGGATGAAACCAACATTTTTAGATCTACCCAGCCGCTAAAAGTGGCCGCTTTTGAGGCAGTCTGTAAACCTCGAAATCACATTATTGGAACTCCTCTCCCAGCAGTCATACAGATGCTACTGTTCGTCACATTATTGGACTCTAGAGGCCTAACTTTAGCACAGTAGTGAGTGACTACTGACTACCCAACATTGCTACCACAAGAATCAAGAAAAGGAAATATAACTTAGTTCTGCAAGGGGAAGCCAAATCCAAGAACCGGACCGGGGAGGGGAGCGCGTGCTTACTGGGGTGTGCATCGCCCGACTGCTCTGGTGTAGAGGTACCCCGGCCACGCGCTCCTGACGCCGCCGCGGGCGCCGCCGGCGACCCTGCCGCCCGCTTCCTCCCCCTCCGCGCCGCCAGCTCTACGATACATCCCATTCGCTGCCCCGAGCGACGAGCAGAGGAGGATGAGGACGCAGGCCAGGGAACGGAGGAGCGCCATGGAACCCATCTCTCTCACTCTGCTCTGCTCTCACTCTCCAGTCCCACTCTCTACCACTCCCTCTGTTTGTCTGCTTGCTGCAGGCTTTGGAATAAATGGAGCCCAATTTTGAAAGCACGACGCTCCGATGCAAGGCGCTGCCAGACTCCTCGGGAGGGGCGTGCGAGGGGACCGACACGAGACCGCTGTATTTACGTGTCATGCCCTACGTGTGAAGTTTTCGTGAGTTACCTTCTACTCTGACGGATTTCACGCCGGAGTCCTTTGGCCAGCCTGCCACGGGTCCGCGCTCAAGGCCAAAACATTCGTGAGAGAATACGAGTACATTAAAGTGCCATTTTGATAAAAATACCAGTTCTGCATTATCGATGGGTGTACACGCTCCTGCCTCAAAAGGGTTGCCGGTCTGCCGGAGTGTAGTTTATCATTTCTTGCAGCCATAGTCTAAAATCGCAAGGAGAACAATCAAGAAAGAAAAGCAGAAGGGAAACTATAACTGGCCAAATGGGCCCTTTTTCGGGGGCCGGCCCGTGAGCACGCCGGCATGGCCCGTCTTGGGCCAGGCACGGCACGGGCTAAACGGGCGGGGCCCGGCACGCGGCACGCCCTGGGCTGTGTTTGGGCCTGAAGGCTGGGCACGCAAGCCGGCACGGCACGGCTTCGATTACGTTTTTTTATACATCTATATATGGCCTAACATGTAAAAATAGTCTAAAAAACGCTCAGTGCATGAAAATGATAGGTTTAAAATATGCGGCCCACCATGCTAAACGGGCCAACAGGCCGGCCCGTTTATTAACCAGGCCGTGCTTGGGCCTGGGGCGCAGCGTGCAGGCTGGCACGATACGACTCGTATAGTAATCGTGCCCTGGCGGGCCATGCCAGGCCAGGCATGATTACGATGGGCCGGGCCGTGCCGTACCGGGCCGGCCCGTTTGGCCAGGTACGAGGGAAACCCTCTTATTTTATTGCATATTAATGATCATTGTTCCAAGTCCAATAGCTATTTTAGAGGGACACTCTCTAGCTAGCTTGTGAGCATCTGCATTTCCTTTTTCAGCTTTGCGAGCCAGCGGTTAACCCTTATGGACAGTTAATCCTCATGGGATCCTAGAAACAACTCTAGCAAAGTAGCCATATTCCACCCACAAAAAGCTTATACAGTCGGCCTGCAAAAGTATTTACGGTACCGTGGGTGCTCCAACAAAATAGATACTATAAACCCATACTTCAATATTTTTGTGGTATAGATTTATAGTATCCGTTTCTCGCCGGAGCCCTCATGGTATGACAATTTTTTTGCGACAAGTATTAACATGATGATCTGTAAATTAAATTGATGCATGAAATTCATAGAAAATAAGCATGCCACACAAAATCATACGCTCTCGTCAAGCTCGTCGTCATCCCTCTCCTCCATCTCCGGATTTGGCTCGGCTTGCGGATGCATTCCCGATTCATGATCATCAAGTGGCGCACTCAAATCCACCGCGTTCTCCTCCAACAACTCGGTATATGTTCGATCAATAGGGTAGCTACAAATCGGACGGCCAAAACACTAAGAATCCGTTGCAAATTTCAATTCAAGTGGACAAGAGCAAAAAGAATTTTTACCTCCCGGCATTTCATCAAGCACGTTGAAGGCACTAGTGGAATCGATGGGATCGACCAACACATTGACCGACGAAGGGTGTAGAGGAGGGGCCCGGCCTCACGCAGCCATCGCATTCTTCTGGGGGCCATTCGCCTGTGTCTTTGTAAGGCCGCCTGAGTGGATGAAGAAGGCGGCCGCGGGAGGGACAGGGGGACGGGGCGGCGGTGATGGTACCGCGACGACCATGGCTCCATGCACGACGTGGCTGCCCCCTGCTTCTGTTTCCCGCCAACGGACGAAGGAAGAGGCGCAATAGCGGGCACCAAGACCGCGACGGTGATGTGGACGAGAAGGCATTGATTGGGTCGCGGGCGGTTGGGAAACACCGGCCGAGGCATGCCATAGCTCCATGGCAGGGATCGGAGATAGCAGCAAGGCGAGACAGCGCGGGACAGACGGAATTGCGACGGCGACGACGCCGACAGGTGGCACAGAAGATGGAAAGTTTCCCTCCCACTATTAGGAAAAACCTTATACACAAAATCTTAGCATCAGTGCGGTCTAAAAACAGACGCTACTGCTAATTAGCAGTAGCGAGCTTTAGAAAACCGCGCTACTAATAGCACGGTAGCAGTAGCGGTCTAGGTGAAACAAGCGCTACTACTATAATTGCCCCAGGCTAGATATAGTAGTAGCGCCCTTCCGAGGACGCGCTACTGCTAAAGTACTTAGTAGCAACGTTTTTCTTCAAAACACGCTACTGCTAAGTATTGTACCTAATTAAGTTTAGTCTCATACTGCTAATCGAACAAGGTGTTTACCACCTTAAATATGTTACTTCTCAAACTATCTTGAGCACTTGGTCTTCATTGAACTATATGTGTAGGATTTGTGGCTACAATATGAATCTTCACCTGTGCCTATACAGGTACTGTGAGGATTCATGTTGACTATTTAGATTCTACACAAAAAGATCAATGATGACCAATGTATATTTTTGAAGTTTTTACATGCTTAGACTTAGCAGTAGCGATTTTTCAGGGTAAAGCGTTACTGATATTATAAAATAGAAAGGAATAGCTGTAGCGCGTTTCGCTTGACACGATATAGCTAACTTAGCTATAGCGCGTTCCGGCAAAACGCGCTGCTGCTAGTTTGACTTAACCCCCGGCCATGCGGGCTCAAAATTTCGCTAAGTCCTTCCCCTCCACTTCCCCCTCTCCCCCAACTGCTCCATCGCCGCCGTCGCCCTGCCGCTCTCGACCTCACCGCTGCCGCCCTCAACCTCACCACCGCCGCCGCCCGCCGCACACCCTTGACGCCGCCCCGACCCGAGGTCGACCCCGCCCACGACCCCGGCATCGACTCCGCCCCCGACCCCGACCCCGTCCTTGATGCCGCCTGCCCCTCCCTGGCCGCAGTCACCGTAAGGCTCTGCCTCTCCTCTCCCCTACCCTCCTTTCTCTTTGCTAGGGCAATTCATATATGTGTTGATGTTGTGTTGATGCTCATATGAACCCTAGGTGTTCATATGAACCGCAGATTTGTTTAGGGCAGTAGGCATTTTTTAGCATTTAGGAAAAATGATTAGCAATTTTTTTAGGAAATTAGCTAGGGAAAATTATTATGAAAATGCCTAAACAGTAATTTCATTCAAAAAACAAAAAAACAGAATCGTTTTTCTTTCAAAAACTTGGTTAAACTAATTGTTGCTATGTAAACAAAAAACAAGATTGTTGTTATATGATATATGTCATTGATGTTCATTTGCATATTCCATTATTGAAGTGGTTCGATTGTGCCCAAGTGGCTTTGTTGTTTCCAGGGAATGAAGTCGAGTGGCCTATGTTTTGCCGGAATGTTGATTTATTTCCTTTTCGGCAAATTTTAGGTTCTCGATTTGTCCACTTTTTTAGTAAAAGTCATGCCGAAATTTTCCGTGAATTTCGGCATGACTTGTGCTACAAACTAGGACATATCGAGTGCCCGGGATTTGCCGCACCGGGAAGGAGTCGACATTCCTGCAAAACATAAGGCCTTTTTTATGTCATTATTCATTTTATCACGTATAGAATTAATTGACTAGATTTAATCACAAGAACTAGTTGAATTAATAGAACTAGTTGAACATGTCACATTTGTTGTTATCTTTTAGTCAAAGCAATTTTTCCCGCATCGACGTCGACGATGCCTATCCCGCATCCTCGTCGTCGAGTCGGCGGAGGACACTTGCGTCACCAGATGGGCCATGTCCGGATCTGGGCTCCGCCGTGGTGGTACTGGGAGGCGCTACCTACCGGGGGGCGCAGGTTGGTGAGGAGCCAGCCTGTCATTGACCTGAACCTTCTTTGGTGGCAGTCGCGTGGGCCAGTGACAGTCCAGAGGCTCGAGGATTCCGCGGAGGTGGTGCGTCACCGTGTCAGTGAGGAGGACGCGCACATCTGTCGCTACTTGTTTGCGTTGGAGCACATGTTCTCCAATACATGGCAGGTTCTCCAGGGATCTCACTGGAGCTATGGTCCTGTGATAGTTCCTTCTCTTTGGGTGTCCACCGCCCGCGCCGATACCCGTTGTGCGCTAGGATTTTAGTTGTATTAGTAATGTTATATGTATGATACTATTCGGGGTGTATTAATGATAATATTCGATGATGTACGGACGCATGAGATGATTTACTTTTTTTATTGAATGCATGCAAATTTGAATACTTATTTATTTTACGATTTGGTTTTGCTTATTGAATGCTCATGTCAATATGAGTCCTATAAGATATTTTGAGTATCCTGGTAGTTGTCTTCGATCAATTTTCAATTAATGTTTAAACTATGAACATAGGAAATGTCTGACAACGAAAAGGATTTCGGTATTTGCAAATACTGCGAAGACGAGCGCGGCCTGTGCGACGGAATCTTCCTAGATGATGATAGGCGTTTCAACATCAAGCTGGACGTGAACTTCGAAGTGGATACAGTAAGTCACAATGACAAGTCCTTTTTTCGTAATTAAGCATGACATCTGCTTCATTTGCTTCAACTTATAATTTAAACTTTTTACTATTCTACTAGCGTATCCCCTGCCATGCAAGAGTTTTAGTTTTGGATAAGATATGTTTTAGTCGTACTATGGAGGTAAAGAAAGTTTACTTGAAGACCGAGCATGGTTGTATTTTCCACGCAAAATTATACAACGCAAACGACTACACCTATTTTGGATGCAAAACTTGGCGAGCACTATGCAAGACTTATGCATTTGAGTCTGATATGGTTATCACATTTGATATTCGTCCGGAAGATGATATTGAAGGTAATATTGACATCTGGGTTGATGTACAGACGCCTCCAGTTATACCATTATGTGAGTTTCTCAACCATATTTATGTCTTTGATATTGTTTATTCAAAAATAGTTGACAACTA